CCTTGCACGTGTGGCGCTAGTGTACTGGCCACGGTGCAGCTGATGCACATCAAGGAATCCGAGATGGAGGCCAACAAGCAGCAGACCGCACAGCACCAGGAGGAGGTGAGTGCTGGGTTGGGTTGATGAGCTAATGTGGTCACACCGTTAGCCTTGAACGCATGGGGAGCAAGGTGGTGAGCACGGTTCAGCTGATGCACATTAAGGAGGCCGAGATGCAGGCTATAGTGGCACGCAACAAGCAGCTGGCAGCACAGCACGAGGAGGAGGTGAGTGCTGGGTTGATGAGCTAGTGAGGTCACACCGTTTATCTCAGGTGCTGAGGAGCAAGGTGCCGAGCACAGTGCACCTGATGCACATCAAAGAGGCAGAGTTGAAGGTTATGGTGAGTTTGAGGTGAGGAGGCCGCAGCGATCAATTGGCCGCACAGCACAAGGAGGAAGGTGACTGGGGGGGTTGTGCGTTGGGTGATGGACTAGTGGGAATGGGGGAGCGCTAGGTGAAGCAGGATAGCCACTCACTCCCCGCCTCCCCTTTCCATCCCCGATGACTCGCCACCAGGTAGCGAGCATGGAGGAGGCATTGGCACGGAGGGAAGCGGAGAGGAGGTGCGGGGTGGTGGAGGAGAGAGAAGTGGATCCAGAGGAGTGCAGCAAGGTGGCCATGCAGCAGCATGCCCCCACCACCCGCACGCTCCAGCGCCAGCTTTCCAGCTCCTCCGAGCTCAGGTGTGTGCCCTCCTGCCCTCTCAGGTGCCCAGGTGGCCCACCCTGCCCTCACAGGTGCTGAGGTGCGCCTCCCTGCTTTATACCTGAAAATTGTTTTCCCTCTGTTTTGGGGCGCCTTGAAAATTATACCTGACCCACACGCTCCAATGCTAAAGGTGTGTTTCTCCCTGCCCTCACCTCTCTGTAACTCCCTTCCACCTCTCTTTCACTTCTCTTCCACCTCTCTCCTCCTCCTCTCCGCTTTCCATATTCCCGCCAGCCTTCTTTCTCCCCTGACCCCCGCAACGTCTCTTGCCTGCTGAGCGTCCGTTTCCTGTTTGTGTTGGCATGGGGCGTCTGTGAGCTTTAGCATGTACACCAATCAATTGAATCATCTGGTTGTGTTGAATCATCCTTCGCCAGCTGATCCTGAGCATTCCAACTACGAGCTTTTACACACCTCATCGCTCCCCCTTCTCATCTCTTTGACACTCCCTCTCTCGAGCTTCCTCTTCCTCTCTCAGTCACCCCCCCTCTTGCTCCCTCTTTTCCTCTCTGTCACCCCCTTTCCCACTCACTCTCTCTCAATTCCACTCACCCTCTCCCCATAATTCACTCACGCTTTCCCTCTCTTGCTCACTCGATTCCTCACTGCCTTGCTGACAGCGACAACCACAGCAATGCTTTGCAGGGTAAACTGCAGCCGGAAGTGTTCCAGGTGGGGGTGATGCAGCTGAAGGAGCAGCAGCAGCAGCAGCAGGACATAAGGCTGCTGCCGTGTCGGGGGGGCGTCAAGCAGGCTAGGTTGGAAAGTGAGTTCGAGGAGGAGCCAGTGAGGTTTGTGGACGTGTGTGACTCTCTGCAGGAAGAGAGTGAGGTGGGGAGAGGGGAGGGGGCTGGGAGTGAGGTGGTGGGAGGAGAGTGGTATGGGAGTGAGGCTGGGGGAGGGGAGGAGGTAGTGACTGAATTTGGGAGGCGGAAGGTAAGGAGTGTGGTTGAGGGAGGGGAGGAGGCAGGGAGCGTTGAGGAGGAAGGAGCGGTGGTTAGAGGGGAGGGGGAGGAGCAAGCAGAGGGCGTGAGGGAGGAGGAAATCAGGAAGAGCGAGAAACAGGTGTTAGGCGTGTGTGGGAAGCAGGGAGAGAAGGAATCGTGTGGAGAGGCGTTAGGGGAGGAGGATGAGATGGTCGTTTGTGAAAAGAGAGAGGAAAACTGTACTGAGGAAGGAGGGGAGGAAGCGGAGGAGGAACGAGAGGAGGAAGGACAGGAGGGAGGAGGGAATGAAGGAGAGAAGGAAAAGCTGGAGGTAGGGGGAAGGGATAGAGAGAATGGGGGGCAGGAGGAAGAACAGGAGGAATTGGTGGAAGAAAAAGGGGAGGGAAGAGAGAATGAAACGGAGGAGGGGAAGGAGGTAGGAGTAGTAAAGGAAGGACGGAAAGAAGGAGGTGAAGAATGGTGGATGAAAGGAGAGGAGTGAGGAGGGAAGAAAGGAGAGGCAGAAGGGGGGAACGAAGGAGAGGAAGGAGAGGAGGAGAACGAGGGGAAGGTCCAACAGAAGTGAGGGAGGAGAACAAGGGAATGGGCGTGATTGTAGGGTATATAATTTCTTTGGAGTATGGATGAGTGAAATGTGGAACTCATAGTATCACTTGTTGATGTTGTATATGTGTAATCAAACATTGCATTCAAGATTTAGAACAATATGAAGGCTTAATCCATTGGTATTTGGCTTTTTTTGTACCACTACTTCAAAACAATAATAACATTTAAGAAGAAAAAAAACAGAAAAGGAGCAGGACTTAGCCAAATGTTGCCATATCCCAAAAGGAGACCACTCTTCATTCGCTCATACCCTCCCCCCAATTCCTCCCCCCACCTCCCCCGTCCCCTCCCCCCCCCCCACCCCACTCCTCCCCTTAAAGAACATCTAAAGGACTTATGTTGGCATCACATTAATGAAAACGCCAGGTACAGACTTATTGATTGATGTGAAACACTTATGGCGAGGATACGTGTTTCTTTTGGACCCCGCAACACGAGTATTCCCGATGTATTCAGTGTGAGTGAATCCGAGCAAGCTTGGGAGGCGGGGTTAAATAAACGCTTATACACTCCACTGGTCGTTTTCGACCAGTATCAGGACAAACTGGGTGTGAATGAAGGCAAGAACATTTGACAAGGCAGCTTTGGTAAGACGGAAGCGAAAACTCTGAACACGCCCCCGGACCGGAGACCTACGCAGCGCAAGAGCGACCCAAGAATTCCCGCGTCATAGCTTCTGACAGTGTCTTTGATATCTGACAATGGGTTTTGATGACCATATCCCGCGTCATTGCCTGGCAGTTGTCTAGCTTTTCCTTTACCCGGTGACGTTGTGTTTCTGCCTAGTATTCACCGTTAGGTCAATTTAGTGGTCCGTGACGTCTAACGTTTACGATCTAGATAGCCAGGCCGAGCAACCATGCAAACGCGATCAAGGAGTAAGCGATCCTTAGTGTCGGCCTTCGAGGAGCCTTCGGACTCTGTCTCTACGAAAAAACGCGTTAATAAAATTATGTCGCCTTACAAGCGGATAGTCAGCCGTGCAGCAGCCGAAATCGACGAGCGGCTGCGACGAATTCGACGAATGCGACGGCTGCGACGAATGCGAAGAACGCGACTAACGCTGCCACTGTTGCTCAAAACGCGAAGAGCCGCAAGGCTGCGAGTATTACCAGGAATTCGAAAATAGCGATTGTTGCGAAGGATGGCGTCAGTGCGAGCTCAGTTGCAATCAGCTCGCCTGACGAGGTTACCACCAACAGGGTTACCACCAGCAGGGTTTCCACTAGAAGCAGAAGCGGGAGCAAAGGTGGAAGCAGAGACATAAACCAACGCGAGGCGATTAACGTCAGAAGAAGCAGCAGAAATGGAGGACCTACCACCACTACCGGGAGCCATGAGGCTGTCAATATGGTTCTCACTAACAGCAGCAGTCCCGACGACGGAGGTTCCGTGAATCACTCTCATCGTGATTCGGCCGAAAAGTTTTTCTCACCGCAGGTGGAGGTCAAATCATCCGAGCCGGTTCAGAAGGCTCTGTTCCGGTCGCCAGAGGACCCTTGCGAGGCGGAGGAATTCCTCTCGCCTGCTTCAGACGCGGCGTTTTCCGAGGCTGGGAATAAGCAGTTGCCTGGATTGAATGCAGTCGCCCTTGAAGCACTGAAAGACGATCCTCCTGCGTCAGTTGTAGCCGTTTCAGAGGGTTCCAAGGGAGGGAATTCGCCTGTTTCGGATGCAGCCGTTCTTGCAGAGTCTCAGAAGCATTCACCTGTTTCAGCAGCACCAGCTGCACCAGCAGCACTAGTAGCAGCACCAGCAGCAGCAGCACCAGCCGCCGCACCAGCAGCAGCCGTCACTCGCTTACCCATCCCCTTTGCTTCTGTGCAAGCGTCAAGCAAACCAGCAGCGAATGGATCCGTGACACGTGTACCAATGGACCTGGACCACGTGGCTGCTGGAAGAGGTGCTTTCGCCCCAGCTCGGCAGCCTGAAGCGGATGTGATTGCACTGAGCGACGACAGTGACAGTGACTGTTACGCTAGGCCGCGTAACTATAACGCGAGGAGGCTGAGGAGGAGCAGCAGAGACGCGAGGGGGAGAAGAAGGGATAATGCAGCTAGCAAGGCATTCGCTGCTGCGTGCAGCAATGCTGCTCTTATCGTGTTGGATGATGATGATGAGGACGAGGAGGAGGAGAGAGAGAGGGAAAGGGAGAGGGAGAGGGAGAGGGAGAGGGAGAAGGAGAGGGAGAGGGAGAGGGAGAAGGAGAGGGAGAAGGAGAGGGAGAGGGAGAGGGAGAAGGAGAGGGAAAGGGAGAGGGAGAGGGAGAGGGAGAGGGAGTGGGAGAGGGAGAGGGAAAAGGAGAAGGACAAGGAGAGGGGGAAGGAGGAGGAGGAGAAGGAGAAGAAGGAGAAGGAAAACCAGGAGAAGATTGAGAAGGAGAAGGCAGAAAAAAGAGCAGCTGATGCGGTGACAGGTGGTGCAAAGGGGGGCGTTGTGAAGGAGAGCGGTACTGAAGTGGTTGACCGAAAGCCAAACATTGGTGTATATATTCGAGCATTTACTGCAGGAGCAGCACCAGTGGCAGCACCAGTGGCAGCATCAGTGGCAGCACCAGTGGCAGCATCAGCAGCAGGAGCAGCACAGGCCGCAGCACCTTTAGCAAATGGCGGCACCAGTAACAACCCTGAGGATGAGGAGGACGAGGAGGATGATGAGGATATAGAGGCCCTTTTCACGTATGGGAATCTGCCTATGACTTTCGCCCGCCCCACACTTCCTTGCAAGCCGTGCAAGCCTGTGGGTGCCACTGGTAATAATGCCACTGAGGAGATCGGGAGAATCGAGGGTGGTGGTGGTAACCCTATCAACCCCGGCCCGCTTTCCCCCCGCCTAACCTCCCCCCTTGGCTCGCCTGCTGCTCCATCTCGCGTAAACCCCCTCAGTCCCAGCAGCAAGACGGGCAAGACGGGTTGCATGAGTCCCACTGGCAACCCTCTCAGCCCGTCTTCCCAAGATCTGCTCAGTCCCGGCCGATCAGGAGCAGGAGCAGTGGAATCAGCAACAGCGGCAGCGGCAGCACGTAGTGAGCTTAGCAGATTTCGGCTGCACCAATCCAAGGGTCACCAGCGTGGGGCTCTCGCGTTCCTCGCCTCCGAACCTGCCTCAGGCTCGGGTTCAGGCTCGGGCAAGGCAGGCGAGACAAACGCAGCTGTGATCTCCTCTACTACCGTGCCCCATGCCCCACATCCGTGTGCCATCCATAGCGCCATGCCAAGCCATCCAGCTTCCCATGCAGCCGCCATGCCGGGCTATGCAGCAGCACATGGGGACGCAGAGGCAGGGAAGGAGAGGGGCGATGGAGAGGAGGCGTGGGATGGGTGGGGGGAAGGGAGTGATGACGGTGGGGCAGGTGAAATGGATGACCCTCAGCTGGAGCTGTATCGAAGGGAAGTGAGGTGAGTGGTTAGACGAGGGATGGATGGGGTAGGTGAGGAGTGGGTGGGTTATAAACTGACTGCGGCGATTAGGTTTAACAAATAAGTGATTGCAGATTATGTTTTCTGTGGATTATGTTTTCTTACCCTCCTTTTGTCGTGCTTTTGTGGTCCGTTGTGCAGCCATTTCAGGGAGCAGCAGGCCGAGTTGGCTCGGATGAGGGAGCAGCTGTCAGACCAGGAGCTGCGGCAGCATGTGATGTCAGCATGCCCCATGCCTTCACCAGAGCCGCAGCCGAATAGGCCAAGTGGTCACAACGAAACTCGCAGCCCGTTGGACGGAGCAGCAGCGGCGACGGCACCAGCAGGATCACAAGCAGCAGCAGCAGCAGCAGCGGCGGTGGCGGCGGCGGCGGCGGCGGCAGCACCAGCAGGAGCAGCAGAAGCAGAAGCAGCAGCGATGGCGGCAGCTGTGGAGGCGGCTAGAAGGTTCAGATCGAGAGGCAGCAGGAGATTAACAACAACTGTGGACGTCATAAGAGAAGGGTGGGCTGCAGCAGTAGCAGCAGCAACAGCAGCAACAGCACCAGCACCAGCAGTGGTAGCAGCAGCAGGTGTTGCAGGGTGGAGAGGGGGAGTAGCAACAGCATCAGGAGGGAGATTACCACATGTGACTTACCCCCATGCAACACCAGTAGCAGCAGCAGCACCAACACCAGCAGCAGCAGCAGCAGCAGCAGCAGCAGCAGCAGCAGCAGCAGCAGCAGCAGCAGCAGCAGCAGCAGCTAGGGCAGCCACCCCTGCGAGTTACAGGATCGCAATGAAGCAAAGAACAGCAGCAGCAGCCGCCGCTGCTAGGGCAGCCACTCCCGCCAGTTACAGGACCCCAGTGCAGCAAAGAGCAGGATTCGCTGCTGCCAGTGCCGCTGCTGCAGGGAATGCAAGTGCGGGTTCAGGGCATATGGGAGGAGGGCATGTGAACGGGGGGCACGGGGCAGGAGGGGGAGAAGCAGCGGAGCATGGGGAGGAGGGGGGAGGCGAGCGGATTCGGCTGCGGGTGACTGGGAGCCTGGGAGAGCACATGTTTCGACTGGCCAAGGTGGGACGAAACGTGCCTGTGTTGTAGCATACCGTAACTGTCATTTGAAAACTCGCAAGTCTCCCTGCACTAGAAAGTGCTCCCTGCCAGGGTGACAAGGTATTTTTTTTTTTTGCTGCCAGGGAAACAGGGCAACAAGCTGCCATGTGGCTAGCGTGGGGAGTGGCACCACGAGTTGCAACTTGCCTCATTCTGTCGTCCCCATGTGCTCGTCTTTATCTCCCTCTCTCCCTCTCTTACTCTCTTCTCTCTTGCATTCCTGCCAGGGCGACAAGCTGGAAAAGCTGTTCACGGCGTATGCCAACAAGGTGGGGGGGTTGCCAGTGGGCTCGTTCAAGTTTGTCTTTGATGGCGATGCGCTAAAGGGTGATTCAACACCGGCAGACCTGGACCTAGAGGATGAGGACCAGATAGAAGCTGTGCGGAAATAATCCCAGCAACATACTACCACACTACCCTTTCAGCATGAATGTGCTCATTCAAGTTTGTCTTTGATGACGATGCGCTAAGGAGTGATTCTACTCTGGCAGACCTGGACCTAGAGGATGAGGATCAGATTGAAATGTACAGTCGAAGGGTCTCTTGGCATCACAGGATCGTAATGTTTCAACGCAAGCAACCTTTTGATGAGGATGGGCAGAATCCATGTACTTTCTCGGCGAGCGTCCCTCGAAAGCACACATGCTGAACCTGAATATTCCTAGCAGAACCACATGAAACAGCTAAGGCACCTAGGCAACCAGCAATCAGTGGCATTACATATCGGTAGTTCAAACCATTTTAGTAAATGTACAACATGAGTGGACTAAAAGCTACTAATTTTTAACAAGCAAACCACCCTGTTAGTCTCCAGACCACCACCGGTCCACAAAGCCTGCTGCACTGGTGGCAGCTATGGTGTGTGACGCGTAGACCACCAATCCACAACACCTAAACCCCGCCTTGCTTCTTCGACTCTTCAATCAAATGCTTCACATAGTTCCGCACTATCTCCTCCCCCTCTTCACTTCTCTTGGTGCCACACTGGTGGCAGCTGTGGCGGCGAGGGAAGTTGACGTTTTGGCACGAGGAGCAGGCCCAGTTGCCATTCACTCCCACCACGGGGCGCGTGTGGTTCAGCCCCCGCTGGGACTGCAGCGCTGCTGGATCGCCGAACTCCTGGAATGTGGAGTAGGATGTGGAATAGGTTGAACAGTGGGAGTTAACATGGGGCAGGTGGTGGTTGAAGGCAGGCAAATGGCATGCATGAAGAATAAAAACGCCATAGGGAAGTACAAAGAAGGGAAGGCACGAGAGAAGAAACAAGGCAACGCAACAGGGAAATGGGGCCATGATGTCAGGGTAAGAGGGCACATCAGTCTCATCAGATTACATTGTCATCCGCAGGCGTGACATGGACAAGGATAGCTCGTGAGCCCACCCCATCCATGCACACTCGGTTCCCTGCCATTTGTGTTCCACATCCTCTGTGCCCTCGCATTTAGCCAGCATGAGCAATACTACAAATTGCACAACGTCCAACCACTCTTAAATCAGTCGAGTATTGGGTGCCTATAGACTGACCTCGCTCTGCTACTTATTAAACGACAGGACAGCTACGGGGGGTAGGGGATAGGGTAGCAGGGGAGAGCTGACCAGGGCGTGGGAGCATCAGCCTGAAGTTCATTAGTTTGTTTTTGTTGGCACAAGGGCGGCAGAGGCCCAGAGGACCATCTCCCGCCTTGCCGTTATAGGTTGTCATCATTGCCCCCGTTACTAGCACATCTCGTTATACGAGACACAGCAATGACGCTCAGATCACCTCAACAAAGAGGGAAGCTACAGGGACAGCTAAAGCGCACAGAAGGGAAGGATGAAGATTGGGAGAGAACACGGAAGGGGGCATCAGCCTGAAGTTCATTAGTTTTGTGTATTTCGGCACAACGGCAGCATTTCTGCTGCCCTGCCATAGCGATTGTCCTCATCGCCCCCCATTCAGCCAGAACCGAATCTCTTCAAAGTGACCTGACACCAGACACAGGGAAAATGGAGTGGCTCGTGACACCAGTAATGCAAGCAGCACTCACCCTGAGGAAGTCACTGGGGCGATCCTTATAATCCTCGAAGCTGATATTAGCGGGGATGGGCTTCACAGACGGAGGCCGGGGCGCAGGCGCAGCTGCCATGGCCGCAAACTGCGGCATCCCGCCCATTTGCGCGTATCCCCCTGGCGCAGGCTGGTAGAAATACGCCATTCCCGCTTGATCCCCTCCCACTGGACCCGCGGGTGCGTAACCGTACGCGGCCGCCGCCGCCATTACCGCGTTGTTCGCGGCGGCGGCGGAAGGATCTCCGCCGCCCCCGGGGATGTTCATGCGCGACTTCATGGTTTGGAGCCAGAGCGTGGCGGAGGCGAGGCATTCTCCCGCGTCAGCGATGGGGTCTGCTGACATGGCGAAGCTCGCTACAAGCTGCTCCGCTAACCGTTTGCCTTCGGCAGCCGCACTGGGGAAGAGAAATGGGCGTAAGGTAAGAGAATGAGGGTGAGTAGAGAAACAGGGAGAGAGTATGTAAACATGCAAGTGCACGAGAACGACAAAAAGGGGGGACAACAGCATGTAAGTGGAATGAGGTTATAAGGGGATGGCGAGGCGTAGCAACTAGTGAATCAACCAACGTTATACCGACGACCGTTACTAGCAACCAACTGCATCCGAGGCTAAACGCTGTTACTTACCTAAGCGTGGACCTTCGGCCTGCACCAGCACCATAACCGGGGTCAGCAGCCACCGTGTACTGAGACGCAAGAGTCGCACCAGCACCAAAACCACCATCACCACCACCAGCACCAACACCAAAACCAGCTGCCGCAGCTGCACCGTAGGGGTCATGCTGCAGTACCTGCACCTGAACCGGCGAACAATGAATGCGGTGGTTTACCACCAGCAGCGGTGTACCCACGAGAGTAAGGCACAAGCACAGTACGCACCGAGTTTAAAATAAACGACAAACCAACGAGAGATACACAGCGCAAGAGCAGACGACCGTACAACCACCAGATTAATACCGGAATTACGAAATCGAATAGTCTACCAAGAGCACCACGTTAGAGAACCATTTTCGACCTAGACCGGGAATGTAACACGCGTTGTGCAATTTCGTTTGCATCCTTACTCTGCCTTGGTTGTAACCGTAACCACCCGCGTCGCCCGTTCGCTGGCCTCTCATTCGCTTGTTGTACTCCGCCACGATCGTGTCGCCTACAGGTCCGCGCTGTCTCCCGCATTTATGGCACTGCAAAAAAATCACCGTCGTAAGTTAGCGGGTCACAAAAAAAAAAAAAAGATTCTGGCTTTGCAACTATTATTAAATATCACTAAGATACAACGCTAGGTACTGACAATCCGTACCTCAGTGCGACGAGGGTAGTTAACATTGAGACAAGCGGAATCTTCGCAGACCCAGTTCCCGTCTTCCAGTGGAACGGGTCGCTTGGATCCACTGCAGGGTGACATTGCGACGAAACACAAAGGGAAAGAGACAAGGATTGAATGTCTTGCGGGTAACACTTCAGCATTTGCAAAAACTATCATTAATGCATATGCATGAATGCATCAGTTCAGCATGATAAATCTTGTCATTCAGTTACCTTGCCTGCCTAGGCTGTGGACCATAATCAGCCATCACCACTCAGCTGACAATCTTGATAACTATGCAGGTGAAATCGATCAGGTCGATGCCTGAACAAACGAAACCCTGAGACACGAGGATTTCACAAGCGCCGAAAGAACTTCCCTGATCAGCAAAAGACTAAGATTTGAGAATTGAGGAAACGGGATGGGCTTATGAGAGAGTTGGTTGGAGGGAAGGAGGAAGGAGAGGAGGGCTGTCAAGTCGAGCCCAGCCAGCTTGAAGTTTGTGAAGGGGTTTGCGATATTGGCTGCTTCGGATAGTGTGCATTGTTATGGGCTAATGTTGATTTACACGTATATTACTATAAGATTCTGCTTTTTATACTAAGTCATTGCTGGTTCCGCTATTATTGTTTGTATGTTCTTATGGGAGCATCCCGTTTCAGTGCAGTCGTTGTCGTCGCGAAGGAATCGTTACAGGCGCGGCGAGAGATGCGCTTTGTACACTTGTGGCTGGCGAGCTAGACCGCCAGTTTTGCTGTGGTATGGTGGTGTGGTCCCGTCACCATCCCTTCCACCACAACTGAATCATTGGTCAAGAAGTGCCGACCTGGCGTCGCTGTTTCTCTGCGACGCCACGTAGACTTACGAGAGGCAGCTAGACGCTCTTCCACGAGACCATCGCGACCTCGCACAAGGAGGACATTTCGAAATGGGCCACTCGGGATTGGCGGGAAGTTGCGCACTTCTACACGGTGGCAATCTGGTAAAATTGGCTGACTGACACGCCCCCTGCAGCGTCCACCCCACGCCACGAGAATCCAGCTTCAACAAGCACAGATACCTTCAATAGAATTTCATATTCCCGAAATCAACAAGCTTCTCTCATCTCCATTCTCCCAACCTCCATCTGTCTACCAACAGAATTTTGGCTGTCATCGCTAACATCTAGCAGCCATGGATCCCGCTTCTGAAGCTGCCAGGACCGACCTTATGACACTGACCAGACATGTGTTGAATGAGCAGTCCAAGCACCCAGAAGCGCGCGGAGATCTCACCATTTTGCTAAATCACATTGTCCTTGGCTGCAAATTCGTCTGCTCTGCCGTTAACAAGGTGCACAGTCTCAAGAACGCAGTCCGTCTGAGTAGGCGCATCGTTTCCCCCTAGCTGTTTCCCAGTCTGATACGAGTGATCGTATCTTTATTGCAGGCTGGCCTCGCAAAACTTATTGGTTTGGCCGGTGAGACAAACGTCCAAGGAGAAGAGCAGAAGAAGCTTGACATCCTTTCTAACGATGTGTTCGTCAAGGCCCTTGTCAGCAGCGGCCGAACGGTACGTTCCAGTGACCAGGCGCTCGATAGTCCAAGATAAATTAGCGATGCGAGATTCACTGTGCGTGTTGCATTCTTGTTTGCAGAACGTTCTCGTGTCCGAGGAACTGGAAGATCCTATTTTTGTCGATAAAAGACTCCGCGGAAGGTAACGTTTCTGGTGCTGCTATCTCTGACCGTGTTATTTTCTTGAGTTGTGTCATTGAGTATGCGAATGACGTTGTTGTTCTTTCTTTCAGGTATATCGTGGTCTTCGACCCGCTCGATGGATCTTCCAACATCGACTGCGGAGTTTCCATCGGAACAGTGAGTGCTGGATGATTTAGCCTGATGTAAATGAGAAGTAAAACGTACAGTCGGTGCGTGCTTCCAAAATCTCCACGCACTCCCGCTCTTCAAAGGTGGGCAATCATACAAGGGCTTGAATGAACGCAAAACCTGGATAGCCAGATGGACAGCAAGTTGTTAGTGAAACTAATGGGCAATATATGAAAGTCAGAAACGCAAGATATGCCGAGACATTCGCTGCTACTCATGTATGATAATAACCGAGGCACCCCCATCACTTATTTTCAGATTTTCGGCATCTACATGCTCCAAGCGGGCGATGATGGCGTCATTCCCGAAGGCACGATTGAGGATGTTCTGCAGCCTGGAACCAAGATGGTGGCAGCAGGGTACTGCATGTATGGCAGTTCGTGCACGGTACGGCTGTGGTTCTTCAGCTGGCCCCGACCTGCTGTGATGGAGCTTATACGTTCGCTGTGTTGTCTCGTGGAGTTTCATTCTGTGTTCTGGTACTGACAGTTTCCTACTATGCGGTTCTGCAGCTTGTGCTGAGCACCGGTAATGGAGTTAACGGGTTCACCCTGGATCCGTCTCTCGGGGAGTTCATCCTCACTCACCCCGACATTCAGGTGAAGATTGCAGTTTTTCGGCGTGGAAAATGTAGCAAGCGTGTACCGGAGCGCATGTGTACAATTCTCGTCTTACCAGGAGTTCAGCTCTCTCAGTGTGAAGTAACCCTCGCGAATGCACCTGCAGATGCCCAAGAAGGGGAAGATCTACTCAGTTAATGAAGGGAATGCACTGAACTGGGATGAGCCAACCAGAAAGTAAGTAAAAGACGCCAGCCTCTAGCGTTCTGTTTTTTTGGTGAACATATGCGTAGTAGTGTATTGTTGGTGTCTCATCTTTGAGCTGTCGTGGTCCAGGTTTGTGGAGTCCTGCAAGTTCCCAACTGATGGCTCGGCCCCGCGTTCCCTTCGCTACATTGGAAGGTGAGGCTAACATCTAAATGCCAGTGTCCCTTACTGTCAACCCTCAGTGAAAGTACTCACGTTTGTTGTCCATTCGTGTCCCTGACTGTCAACCGTCAGTGAAAGTACTCACGTTTGTTGTCCATTCCGTTTATGCAGTATGGTGGCAGATGTGCACCGGACACTTCTGTATGGTGGAGTTTTCTTGTACCCGGCTGATAAGAAGAGTCCCAATGGCAAATTGAGGTAAGAGATGTTTAAGTTTTCAAGGTACAATCTTGTGAAGAGGACACGTTTTTTAGTTGTGGTCTTATTGTTTACAAATAACTCTTGGCTCATGGATACAATTTCAATCTACTGTGCAGGGTGCTGTATGAAGTTTTCCCGATGTCTATGTTGATTGAGCAAGCAGGCGGTCAGGCTTTCACAGGAAAACAACGTGTAAGTGTCTAGCAGCAGAGTTTCTTCCGTTCTTTTCTTTCCTCTTACCGCTTTGTTGTATTTGTGTCGGGTCCTAACTTAGGAAAAGAAATTACTCCTGTTTTCTACGTTTGCAGGCCCTGGAGCTCGTTCCAACCAAGATCCATGACAGGTCCCCAATCTTTTTGGGCAGTTATGATGATGTTGAGGCTATTAAAAATCTGTATGCCGCTCAAGCTTAGAGCTCAAGTACTGCGTGTAACGGGTTGGATGTGTTGTTTGAGCCTTCAAGTTGGAATTAAGAAATTATGTCGTATGCCTTTTCGCTGAAACTATGTTTGTCGAGTGCGGTTTCAAACGAGTATAGGCCATGTGAAGCCGCGACCCGTCAGGCAGACACAGGTTGTGTCAGGCGGGAGATTCCTGGGCTTGATCTCAGCACAACAATCCTTCAAGCAAAGCTGTTTGCACAAGTTCCTCCTTCGGAAGACTTGACCGTATTTCACGAAACTCGTGTGATCTGCTCCCTGCATTTCGTCCCGAAACAACACGACCTCTTGTTGATTTGGCATTTAGTCTGTCGGCTGTGGGCCGTATCGTTACTGCAGCCGTTAGGTTCGTCAACGCAATCCCCGTCGCATATAGTTATATAAATCGTCTGTGATCATGAATCATGTCTAGAGTCGCCGGCCTGTCCTCCGCATTCTGACCACTGCTACCGTGTCGTCCTTTTTGAATGGTAGCGGGTCCGCATCCGGGAAAGCGGAGAGCTTATTATCGTGGTGCCATGGGAGCGTTGCGGACGCCGTTAAAGAAGGCGCCAGCCGGCCTCTTCCGTTTCGGCCTCAGATTTGTGATCCTCCTGTTCGTCGTCGTTATGGTCGTATTCATCTTAGAGACCGGAAAGCTGGCAGACAGACAACGAAAGTCGGAATTTGAAGAGCGTAAGTTTCTTAATTTCAAGTCGAGAGACATCCTCCCTGCAGCTGGCCACATTTGCCACGTGTTCTGCGTCAATCCTGATTTCCATGGATCTCTCTTGTGCGACTTCTTTAAAAATATGCGTACGATAATCGTTCAGGCCAATGCGCCTCGGCCTCAACCGTCCATTCGTTGTTCCTCTCGATCTCCGTTTCGCTTCGGTTCGCGCTCTCAGGTGTCTTCCACATTTAGCTCGCTTTATTATTTCCCTTTCGATCGTCATTCCCCTTCATTCCTCGTTCTGGTCCCTTCCCCCAACCGTCGCCGAGGCAGTGCGAGAGCAGTCGCTGAGGAAGATCCTGAGGCAGCACGAGATGGAGATTCAGGCAGCCATCGACAAGAACATTGGCTGGTTCTCACAATACCTCTCCAGACTCCGTCTGTCGTCTCGTGCTGGGGCTGGAAGAGGTGGGTTTTGTGTTTTTCCAGATGCGCAGGCATAGAAATAAGCTTCACGGTGCTATCGATGGCAGCAACGGCTGGTAATTGTAGTGAATTTTCAGGTTCCAAGCGTCATCCTGTGCTAGAGCTGAGTATCTGAAGTTTACCCCGTTAGAATGGGTGATTTGCAAATGCACCTTGGAACTCTGACAAGTCGTGCTTTCTCTGCTCATTCGTTACCTGACCGAGCTCGCCATTTCACTGCTGACAGACAACTTCGCCGTCTGTATGATGTTCCTGCCTGTTTATGTGTGTATGGGTTTCCCTGTCTGTTTGTGCGACCAGACGAGGACGACGATGATGACACTAGCAGCGTGTCTTCACACTCAGCCTCCGCTACAGACACCCTCGCTACTGGCACGTCTGGGGGGGATGTGCGTGGCGGGGAAGCAGCGGCAGGCGGAGGCGCTGGGGGAATGGCGGGTGGTGGGGGGGAGAATGGGAAAGGCGTTGGCGAGGGTCAAGGGGGAAAGCGGAAGAAGGGGAAGGAGCAGGATCTGTCGAATGTGGGCAATTTGGACATGCCCATGCACAAAGTGCACGGGGTCTTGGAACGTGAGTGTTTAGGAAAGTGTTAGTTGAGTATTGGAAAGTGGGAGCTTACCCTTCCTTGATCCACCCACCTGCGTCTCGCCCTTGGTGTTTCTTGCTCTATCCCATTCTTCTGTCACTTCTTCCGTCTTAATACCCACTCAATCTCTTCCTGCTCATCTGCCCAATCCATCCCCCTTCCAACCCCCGCAGCCTGCCTCCCTCTGTTGCCCGAGCCTGAACTCTCACACCTGCAGCTGCCCGAACCTCTCCCGGACACAGTAGTGACGCGCCTTCGCTATTATCACATGGACGAGGACGCAATTGAGATCGAGAGCACACTGGGCGCCAGGCAGGGCCAGCTGGGGCGAACGGTCCAGCTGGACATGTTCACAGGGAAGCAGACGATGGGCGAGAGGGCTAAGAGCTTCCGCGTGCAGGCGAGCATGGAGGTGCATTGTGGGTTTGCGGGGCCAAACACAGGGTTTACGGTGGCCGAGGCGGACCAGCGGTGGCTCAAGCGGTGCCAGGTGGCAGTGGTGACGGCGATATTCGGGGGAGGTGACATCCTCGTGCAGCCCATTGGGATGACGCAGGAGTCTCTAAAGAAGGTGCGTGCATGGGTGGGGATGGTGGGATATGGGGGGGATGATGGGTGACAGGGCATTAGCATGGTGGGTTTTGGAGATGGGGATGGGCGAGAGGGCTAAGAGCTTCCGGGTACAGGCGAGCATGGAGGTGCACTGTGGGTTTGCGGGGCCCAACACAGGGTTTACGGTGGCCGAGGCGGACCAGCGGTGGCTCAAGCGGTGCCAGGTGGCGGTGGTGACGGCGATATTCGGGGGAGGTGACATCCTGGTGCAGCCGATTGGGATGACACAGGAGTCTTTGGAGAAGGTGCGTGCGTGGGTAGGGATGGTGGGGTGTGGGGGTGGGGGTAGGTGGGGTGCTTGCGTGGGTGGGGACGGCGGGTTGCGTGGGTGACTTTTGAGTCGACTCAAAAGTGGTGACAGCGATATTCGGGGGAGGTGACATCATGGTGCAGCCGATCGGGATGACACAGGAGTCTTTGGAGAAGGTGCGTGGGTGGGTAGGGATGGTGGGGTGTGGGGATGGTGGGGTAGGGGATTGGTGCGGAGGGTGGGGAGATGAGTCTTAATGCACGGTGGTGTGGACTTGGAGTAGGAGGAAGGCTAGGGGCATGGAGATGTGTATGGTTATGGGTATCTGAATGAGGGAAGGTTGGGTTTTGGGTTTGGGATGGGTTTGAGACGAGCTGGGCAGCAGGTACGCACAGGCTTCGTGCACCCATGAATGAACCCATAATGCTTTTCTTTCTTCATCCACCCCTGGCGCACCTTCAGGTGTGCTATGTGGTGTTCTGCGACGATGTGACAGCAGAAGCGCAGGCCGAGGCAGGGGTAGTGCCAGGCACAATGAGACGATCTATGAAGCGCCGTATAGTCGCCTCTCATGAAGTCTGGCATGTTTATCTTCTTACTCGCCTTGCATGCGTTCAGGTGTGCTACGTGGCGTTTTGGGACGAGGTGACAGCAGCAGCACAGGCAGAGGCAGGAGTGGTGCCAGATGCAGGCACCATGAGGGTGGGGCTGTGGCGCATTGTGATTGTCAAGGACCTGCCGTTTGTGGACCAGCGCAGAAACGGGAAGATTCCAAAGGTGAGGCACCACGGCTATCAGTTAACGGATTTCTGATGATTGGCATTGGCACTAGGATGCCTATAATGGTCGCTGACTCCTTCCGGGATCTTCACCTCACATTTATCAAGTGCGTCAAACACATAGAATAGAGGTAGTGGGCTATCTGGCACAGCACAGCAGGGGTCTAACCGCCTCTTAGAAGCACATGGTTTCACATTGTCACACATAAGCACAGTCTAAACCTCTCCTCTCACACGCCCTTCACTCCTCTGTCTCGATGCCTGTTACGATCTGAATCTCGTCCTGCCTTCTGTGCCGCCTATGCCTCCCCCCTGCACCCGGCTCTCCTTCATTCACCCATAATCGCCTACTCGCCACGGCCATCCACTTGTCATGGCCCCCCAACAGATCTTGTCTCATCGCCTCTTCCCCCGCGCCCGCTTCTCCATCTGGGTCGACTCCAAGTACCAGTTCCGCCGCGACCCCCTCGGAGTGCTCTCCACACGCTGTTCCAATCTCTCACCCTGCCCCCTGTGCCTCTGTGCCCCGCTGTGCCCCCTGTATCCACTGTGCATGCCCCCTGTACCCCTGTTCCTCCCTCCTTGTTTGCCATCTCTGCCTACTCGCCATGGCCCCCCAACAGATCTTGTCACATCGCCTCTTCCCCCGCGCCCGCTTCTCCATCTGGGTTGACTCCAAATACCAGTTCCGCCGCGACCCCCTCGAAGTGCTCCAGACATCTTTCCAATCTCTCACCCTGCCACTTGTGCCCCTGTGCCCCCATACCCCCCCTGTGTGTCCACCTGTTCATCCCTGTGCATGACCCCTGTACACCTGTCCCTCCTTGCCATGTCTGCCTACTCACCATGCCCCCCTGACAGATCTTGTCTCATCGCCTCTTCCCCCGCGCCCGCTTCTCCATCTGGGTCGACTCCAAGTACCAGTTCCGCCGCGACCCCCTCGGAGTGCTCGACACGCTGCTGTGGCGGCAGCAGCCGCGGGCAGAGTTTGCGATATCGGAGCACGGGGCAAGGAGTTGCATCTATGCAGAGGGGGAGGCGATTGTGAGGAAGCACAAGGCTCAGCCGGAGGAGGTTGCAGTGCAGCTGAACCAGTATCGCACCGAGGGGCTCCCGGTTAATGCAACTTACAATGGGAAGAAAGGTGAGGGAGGCGGATGATGTTGTGGTTTGGAAGAATGGCCTTCTTGTTGGATACTGGGGCACGGGGCAAGGGGATGAATGTGGTGGTTTGGACGAATGGGCTTATATCGGAGCACGAAGCAAAGAGCTGCATCTATGCAGAGGGGGAGGCGATTGTGAGGAAGCACAAGGCTCCCGGAGGAGGTTGCAGTGCAGCTGAACCAGTATCGCACAGGGGCTCTCGGTTAATGCCACTTACAATGGGAAGAAAGGTGAGGGGAAGCAGATGATTGTGGTGGTTTGGAAGAGCGGGCTTCTTGACGGGTATTGGGGCATGGGGCAAGGAGTTGCATCTATGCGGAGGGGGAGGCGATTGTGAGGAAGCACAAGGCGCAGCCGGAGGAGGTGGCCGTGCAGCTGAACCAGTATCGCACCGAGGGGCTCCTGGTTAATGCCACTTATAATGGGAAGAAAGGTGAGGGGAAACGGATGATTGTGGTGGTTTGGAAGAATTGGCTTCTTGCTGGATATTGGGGGGCAAGGGGCAAGGAGTTGCATCTATGCAGAGGGGGAGGCGATTGTGAGGAAGCTCAAGGTGCAACCGGAGGAGGGGCTCCTGGCTAATGCCACTTATGGTATAATGGGAAGAAAGGTGAGGGGAAGGGAATGAATGCGGTGGTTTGGAAGAATGTTGGATCCACGGTTATTTCAAGTACTGATCTCTTTCTGGCTGTTTTGTGGGACATCCGACCAACGTATGTTCTCTTCCCTTTTTACTATGCAGCTTTGGCAGAGGCATCCATTATAGTGAGAGAGCACACTGCAGCCACGAACCTGTTCATGTGCCTGTGGTTCAATGAGATGGTGCGATTCACTGCTCGTGATCAGCTCAGTTTTGGCTACACGCTCCGACGACTCGACTTGGTGAAACCAAACATGTTCCCTGTGTGCACACGACGGGCGCTGGTGAACGCTCTTGGCCACAAGCGTAAGGCAAAACCACTTGCACTTGGAGTGTCCTGAATATGTAGGTGCTAATAATCAACTTTAGGATTATAAGTAGGTCTCTATTGCAAATGTTGTAAGTGTACGTCCATTTGAATAAGCACCCCCATACCGGTTCACTTTCGGAGGTCAGGAGTGGTTGGATTCGGCGACGAGCTTGCGATAGCATGCTGGAAATCCATTGGTGTAGCAGTTCCCGCCAAGAGCTCGGGGGCACTCAGTTCTGCCTCGGGATTTCCAAACGAACTTCGGCCATGGTTCCACATTCAGTTTGGCTTACCCAACCTAGCCAAGACGCGAGGCTCGACAGACGGGAGAACAAGTGAGAGGTCACAGAAGGCACGGAGGTTCGGCGCGGAGATTCACTCGCAAATCCCTGTGTTTGTAGCCGAGGCGTCAGCCTGGGCTGCCAAATCTAGATTCCAGAGACGGCCTTCTGGAATTCAAAGCACATGTGGTCCTCCTCACATGACAGAAGACATGATCAGAATCTATTTCCTGTTTTCACTAGCTCGTGCATATCAGTCTTTGAGCGCGTTCCGTGTCCTCTTGAAGAGCGGGCTGTGGCTCGAAGTAGCTTTTCGGACCAACTACTTCTCATTGAAGGAGGCTCTTTTCCGCAAAAGTTGAAGGAGGCTCTTTTCCGCAATAGTTTTGTGGCTCTCTGAATTTCTATTATCATCTGAATCAATCACACCATTCACCCCTGGCCTCGTTCGGGGTCACTGTCCTTGGTAAGTTTTGATTCAACATTGGCAACAGCTTATTTGTTTTATCATTTAGAGAGCTGATTGTCTTTTGAAAACGAATCATGGTCTTTGTAACGAAATTCGCACTTGGTTAGAACCGAACTCACTGTAACTTATTGGTATTCTGAGAAAAGAGGATGAACCAGTGCCTTTCCAGTGCCTTAATGGCGGATCTAGCCTTTCTGGCTGCGACCCTTAAGAATGTATTCGCATTGTGGGTGAAGCTGGATTCGCCAGGTTTCTGGGTTTCTCAGGCCGCTCGAATTCCAGATATAGCCCATTCTGGTTCACAAGTAACACTTGATCAAGCAACTCACTTGTAACGTCTCTGCATGCTCGGCTTCCCGGCCTTTTCTATTACCCCAGCCAGAGAATGCCAGCTCTGGAGGCAAGCGATCCAGTCGCCATGGACACTCAGCCTCCAAGCGTCGGCGGTAGCAGTGCGCTGGGTAGCTTGGAGGGGAGAGGCAAGTTGCAGCTGGTGCAGCCGTCGTCGGCAGATGAAGAGGCGAAGGTGGTGAGGGAGCTGATGAACACTGCGGATGCTGTCATGAAGGAAGGAGACACGTACAACCTTGTAGACGCTAGGTGCGTACGTGTGTGATTTGATGCAGAAGCGCGTGTGTAACTCGGACGAGAAGCGAGGGTGTGCGGGAGCTGATGAACACGGCAGATGCTGGGATGAAGGAAGGAGACACTTACAATCCCGACGACGCTAGGTGCGTACGTGTGTGATTTGTTGCAGAAGCGCGTGCAACTCGAACCGGGAAGCGAGGGTGGTTAGGGAGCTGATGAAACACGGCAGATGCTAGGATGAAGGAAGGAGACACGTACAACCTCGTAGGAGCTAGATTGAATTTACTTTCGAGACGTTTCACAGGAGAGCGTGCTGGCCAATTGGAGTTATCTGAGACGTCAAATGTATTGATGAATGTTCCTCCTCCGTTCTCCCCCTCTGTCACTCCCTCTCCCTCTCTCGTATGTGTGGCGCCGTTCACCCACGTTGACTCGCGTTGACTTGGTTAACTCCCGTTGCCTCTGTTGGCCGCGTTGACTCCGTTGACCCGCGTTTTCTCTTTTGACTCACGTTGACTCGGTTGGCTTGCGTTGACCCGTGCAGATGGTGGCGTGCGTGGTCCAGATACTCGGGCTATTCGGAATCAGAGAGCGAGTCCCAGAAGCTCACTGTGAAGCCGCTACCCATAGACAACTCGAGCCTGGTGGATCGGGAGGCGCAGGACAGGTTCGGCAGTGCCGAGCCTCACCTGCGGCTGGAGCTGCAGGAGGATGGGGACTACGTGCTGGTGCCGCAGTCAGTGTGGCGCGTGCTGCACTCGTGGTGAGTCTCGGGCTAGCAGTGCTGCACTGATGCATGCGTGCCATCCTGGTTCAGATGAGAGGGACGAAGGAGCTATCAGTAGAGTTATGCTGGCCTTTGTGCTTGTGCCTTCTCAGCTGTCTGTGTACGGGGTGTGCTATAGAGACACATCAAACATAGTATCATAAAAGAAGGCCACATCACCTTCTGAGGAACAGAGCAGCTCTAGGCAGGAGAGGCCCCGCCAGAAGATTCCATCCAGTTTTCCTCCCCCATACTCCACACTCCCTCCATTTTCCATCTCCTTTATCCCATTTGCAAATGCTAAGGTATGGAGGGGGCCCAGTGGTATCCCGCCACGTGGCGCGCATGGGAGGCCGGGAAGAGCTATCAGTGGAGGTGTACCCGCTCTGCCTCGAGCTCTCCTGCATTTCCGTCGGCACCTCATTGCCCCTCACTTCCTTCCCTTTCTCAAACACTCTAGGTACGGGGGCGGTCCAGTGGTATCTCGCCACGTGGTGCGCATGGGGGGGAGGGAGGAGCTATCAGTGGAAGTCTACCCGCTCTCCCTCGAGCTCTCCTGCGTCTCTGCCGCCACCTCGCTGCCCCCTCGCGTGGAATCAGTGGTCATCAGCAAGCGGGCGACTGTGGGGCAGCTTAGGCACCGCGCCTGCGAGCTGTTCGGGCTGCAGCCAGAGAATGTAGGTCTGGTGCTTGGGAGTGATGAGTGAATGTAGGTCTGGTGGCCTGGGAGTGATGAGAGAATGTAGGTCTCTTCCACATGTGTGTGGAATTTGGTGCGTTGTCGGTGGATATCAGCAAGCTGGAGACTGTGGGGCAGCTCAGGACCGCGTGTGCGAGCTGTTTGGGTTGCAACCAGAGAATGTGCGTTTTGGGGTTTGTCTGAAGACAGAATTAGGCACCCTATGAGCCTACATATTGGCTGCCTGGGTTTGAGCCCATGTCATCCTCATTTCTATGAACGAAGTGCCTCTCGCCCCCTCCCAACCTGCTGTGTTTTTGTGTGTGCCGTTTTCTTTGCATGCGTGTCGTGTGTATGTGCTTGCGCGAATGCGGCATGTTGCTTGTGTGCACGTGTGCATGTCATGTGGCATGTTCGTGTGCACGTGTGCATGTGTGTGTGCATGGGAGCAGGTGCGGGTGTGGGACAACTACGGCGGCAAGCGTCACAAGGTGTTGAGCGATGAGGGCCAAGCTCTGGAAGACGCAGAGCTGCAGATGGGCAACCAGGTGAGGACCCGTGGACGAGCAACCATGCATGTGTGTGTGCACGGCAGCAGGCACGGGTGCACCACAAGGTTTTGAGCGATGAGGGCCAGGCTCTGGAAGACGCAGAGCTGCAGATGGGCAACCAGGTGGGCACCTGATATTAAATGATTACAAAAAAAAAAAAAAAAAAAAAAAAAAAAAAAAAAACACCGATCTGACCTTCTTTCTTGGTGTAGCCTGCTCGCAATAAAAATAAATTTATTTTCCTTCATATGCGTCTGCCCTCCACTATGTGTCAGATACTGGTAGAGGTGGGGGATAACGGCCAATGGCCCGCCCAGGCCGTGCATCTAGAGTCCTCCTCCTCGCCCTCCTCTCCCTCCACTCCCTCCCGCACGTCCAAACCTGCCGCCACCTCCCCCTTCCACACTGTCACCTCCCCCCGTACCTCCACTCTCGCTTCGGCCGCCGAACCTACCGCCGCCGAGCCTAACGTCTCCATAGCAGGGGGTCCTCTGTCGCACTATAGCAGCGTGGGAGCTGCTCCCCCCCCTGGCGCGCTCTTCATCACCTCATGGCCTCCCAACCCTGCTGGGGAAGGAATGGAGGGAGCAGGAGCAGAAGCAGAGGCAGGGGTGGAAGGATCAACCTGGTCTCCTGTGAGGGAGATGACTGATGCAGAGGGGGCAAGGGGAGAAGAAGAGGGCGAGGGGAGCGGGACTGCTGCTAGTGGAGTT